GCTCTTCCGGGCATTCGTTTCTTTATGTATTTATAAGCTAAAGCAAACACGCCCTCCCCACCCCCCAGCTAACAGGCCGGAGTCTGTTCACCCACCGAGAGGGTGAAACGGGTCCTTAGCGCAGGGGGACGAGGGGCAGCGCCGTCCAGCCTGGGCAGGGAGGTAGAGAAAAACGCGCCCCTCCCCGGCATAGGAGAGAGATGTAAAAACAAGGCCCGTGATGCTAGGATTGGGTGGCTTAACGTTAAATTACCAAAACTGAATGTCACTTTGAATCCACTCAGCAAGGAGCGCGCCCCCTCGGTCGTGTCCGCACAGCCCCTGTGGCTACCTTAAAACGCAGCTTCCCTCGAAGGGGAAACGAGTAGAGTCCAATCTAGTCTGAGTGATCTCCAAATGCGGACAGAAAGGGTCGTTTTATCATGCTACTATTTGTCGTGACGATGCAATTTTCAAAAGCCGAGCACTGTCATAAAGTGACATGCCTGCCACAAGTGCTCCAACTGATCTTTTCAATTAGCCTTCCATGCATGATCCAGGGCGACTTCCGCCTATTTCCAGAAATTAAGCTCAAACTTGACGTGCAGCTAGTTTTATTTTAAAGACAAATGTCAGAGAGGCTCATCATATTTTCCCCCTCTTCTATATTTGGAGCTTATTTATTGCTAAGAAGCCAGGGCTCTTGGAGTCAATTTATCAGGAGGCTCCAAAGAGAGGAGAGCAGAGAGAACATAGAGCAGACCTTCTCCTGGGAGCCTTCCTCCAAAGCCTGAAGCTTCAGGTTGGGAATTTTCGAGTTGCTTTTGGCGAAGCGAATTGTATTTGCGAGGATGTAAATAGGCTGTTAAAACCCCCAACAAACCCAGGGCTTTGGTTTGCTTGGGTGGGGTTTTGTTTTTTCCTCAGGATGAGACGGATGTTGAGATTTTTGCTCTTGTTACTGCTACTGTCTGACTCTTTTGGGGGGAGCTATTAGACAGCACCGCAGCAGCAGGTCCCAGCTAGCCAGTGATAGGAGTCTTTGCGGTGGGGGCTCCATAGATCTTCTCAGGACCAGAAGCAGGCTCTGGAGTGCAGTCCAAGTTAGGACTTGAAACCCTAGCCCGGCTGAGTGTAGGAAGAAAGGAAGCGGTGGACGTGTTACGGCTGGGTCTTGTGGGCTGCCAAATGGTGTGAAAGGATGTCTCTGAGTGAAAGTGCGTATCCAAATGCTGGGCTTATGGTCTGAGGGTCGGACTGGGAATGTTAATCGATCAGTATATGGGACTGGGCTTCCAGCCGAGACTGGGGGAGAGATGCCAGCGCGTTGGTGCTGTGTGTTGCAATCTTGTCTCTCTTCCTCGCGCGCTGCTTTGGGGCATTTAAACGCCTCGCGTGTGCCTGTATGGAGCGCTTCGACCCGACGGATGGTTTCCCCGTGTGGCTCTGTCTTTACTTGCCTGCGTTGGGTCTGGAGCTGGCAGGCTGGTTTCCAAGTAGCAATGCGGCGCGGAGAGGGGGGCTTTTGCCAGGGAAGCGTGAGGCAGAGGCGTGTTCTTTTCCTGGGGACAGCCCACGATCTCTGGTCCATAGCCGCACCCCGAGAGCGGAGGCTGGGACGGCTCCGCAGGTAGCTGAGGAAGCTATTGTTCTTCTTTCTCTTCCCCCCTCCCTTGCAGGTCACAGCGGAGTGAATCAACTCGGCGGTGTGTTTGTCAACGGTAGACCACTGCCCGATTCAACCCGGCAGAAAATAGTGGAACTAGCGCATAGCGGGGCTCGTCCGTGCGATATCTCCAGAATCCTGCAGGTGAACAAGCTGGTCGCCACCTCAGTTTGCTCCTTACTGGCTCTGCTTGCAACACGCTTTCTCCATCTCTGCCTTTAAACGCTTCGATTCCGGAACCCCCCGGTCCAGCCTAATAAACCGATTCATCTGCTTATCTTTAAACCCCAAACTTTTAAAAATCTTCCTTGTATTTTCTTCCGATGCTGTCATTCTCTGGCGTTCCAGCTAGTTTGCGGGAATCATCTGAATGATACAAGCCAGCATAATTTCAGTCCCCCCAGCCTCACGCCCAGTTTCTTAAGAGTTCATGATCTCGGTATGCATTTGACGTTGCTTACTGCTTATTTTTAATAAGCAACAATAACACCGAACCCACACGGCTTTAGCCTGAAATGGAGATTTATAGACACTAACATGATCTGGCACATCTTAGGGCTACCTTGTACATTTCAGCTTTATAACCCTCCCCACTCGATCCCCCTCCCGAAAAGGATTCAGTATACGAAAATTAAATAACAATGAAATTGTGCAGATTTAAAGCATATTTGGAACTTTAATTCTAAAATTCATTTTTATCAGATTTTTTTTCTCCAGCTGTTTTAAAAGTATCACATTTGTAGTTTGTAGGGCCACAAATGTAATTTTTTTTAAGAAAGAAAAAAAATTTTCTAAGTAAGTTCTCATACCATTTAAGGTATATTTTTGTGTTATAGACCCATGCAGATGCAAAAGTCCAAGTGCTGGACAATCAAAACGTAAGCTTGTCATTGTTTAATGCATACTTAAACAATTTTATTTTTGTCTTGAAATTATTAATAATGTGATTTTCTGTCCGCTTCCCTATGCAGGTGTCGAATGGATGTGTGAGTAAAATTTTGGGCAGGTATTACGAAACTGGCTCCATCAGACCCAGGGCAATCGGAGGTAGTAAACCAAGAGTAGCGACTCCAGAAGTTGTAAGCAAAATAGCGCAGTATAAACGAGAGTGCCCCTCCATCTTTGCGTGGGAGATTCGAGACAGATTACTATCAGAGGGGGTCTGTACCAACGATAATATACCCAGTGTAAGTTCATGGAAAAAATCTTCCTATCTGCTGTGTTGAATGCCTGGGTAGCTAGAGCGAACCTCTGCTTTCTTTGTTTTGGTATCAAATGTGAGGACAGTAGTTCCCATCATTTGCATGTGGCAGGGTCGGACACATTTTTGCATAAAGAACTTGATCAGTGCCTTAAAATGACGGCTCGTCCTTTCCGTCTGATCCGTCAGGAATTCACAAATATTTGTGAATATATGTGCAAAATTAAAACACAGAACGAGGAAAGTCTCTGTGAGTTTATTAATGGAATCTGGTAACTCGCAATACAAAGCGACCAGTCTATGGTAGCTTCTTTCCTTCGAATTATTATCTCGTAATCTCTTTAATGATGTGCAGGTTCAATCAACCCCTCACCCCGAGGCAGAGGAGTGCGGTGATACTGACGTCGCGTTGTAGGAGTGCTACACACTACCATTTTGTTTAATGTTGGTTGCCTTTCAGGTATCGTCAATAAACAGAGTTCTACGCAACCTGGCTAGCGAAAAGCAACAGATGGGTGCAGATGGGATGTATGACAAGCTAAGGATGCTGAATGGGCAGACAGGGACATGGGGCACGCGACCCGGATGGTACCCCGGTACCTCAGTGCCAGGACAGCCTGCGCAAGGTAAGGCAGATCCCCCATCAGAGGAGCTTCTGGGCTCTGCAAAGCTTCTCAACCAATGTCTCCCGGTTGATAGGAGTGTGTAACCCCTTCCCAGTCCACCTCCGGAGCGTTACAGCTAAATCTCCCATTGAAATGCACCGAGAACCACCCTCTTGTAGGAGTATGACAAGTTAGCTCTCTGACAGGCTGCGAGGTAAACATGATTGTATCATATTGCGCCTTCCTGTAATTGACAAATTAGGCGACTATGAGTAGCAAGCCTACGGAAAGACGGGGAAATAAATGCAGGTGTGTAGCGAGGCTATGCGGAAGCGCTAGGGCTTGTTTAGCGGATTGGTTTCCAGTTTGATTCTCAAATGTATTCAGAACCCCGTTTTCGTGGGTGTGTAAGAGTGCCAGTGAAATAGCCACGCAGACCTGCCGTATGTGGGGGAGGCGCGTGAGTTATTGATGTGATTCTTTTCCTTGTCCATCAGCCTATTAATTAGAGAGTTTCTGCTCAGCAGCCAAGCCGGTTTTTTGCGCGAGTGTCTCTAAACCCGGGAGAGATTGGCCACAACGTAGGTAACTCTCTCTGTAGGGCTGATTATTGTCCCTCCTCAGTGGACCTGAAACAACTGTGTAAATATAGGAACCTGTTTATCCTGAAGATTAATAGGTATTTGTTGTGGGACTGACAGGGGGATAATATAAAGGATAATGGGATGTTATGTTACATACTTCAGATGGTTAATGGCTCCTTTTTGAATACCGTTTCTGTGCAGGCTCAGACCTTTCCCGAGCTGTGGTCAGTTCTTTAGAAGAGGTGTCTAGCCAACAACCTGCTTTTTGTTTTCCCCCCACAAGGAAAAAAAATCCGTAACAGTATGCGGAATATCTGGTACAAAGGATGTTTCTGTCACACGCAAGAATTTGTTATGGGAACAATTCTGTCGCTATGTAATTGCTCATTAGAGATCGTTTTGTTTCTCATTAAGGCGACATGAATAAGCGTCTAGTTGAAGGAGACAGCTGTAGCAATGTTCCACAGGAGACCTCTGGACACGATATGGCACCGCTTGCCAATTAGACATGTCAGCTTTAAGAGAAGAAAACAATCTATGAAGGACACTGGAAAGATAGAGAGCAAAGCTCTCGCCTTTTTCCTATATCCTCAGAGTCCTAATGATCGCCCCGTCCCTGGCTAGCTTGCAGGGAGCTCAGCCGAAGTACTGGGGCCTGGCGCCTTCCCCTCACATTTACCTGCGGGCTCCAACTTTCCCAGGCAATCTTTCAAGTGCAAGGCGCGGCAGGAGACGCAACGGGCGCAGGGAGAGACTGGGGTTTGTCCCGGGAAGGGCAGTGGTGCCACTGCCCTTAATCGCTCCCTTAGCCCCGGGACTGCCTTGCCACGGCCCTGCCTGGCTCCTCGGATCGGAGGAGGGGGGTGATGCCAAGGCTAATCTAGGCCTTTAATTAATGACCAGCCAGCCTAGCGCTAAGTACAGTAGAGAAATCTGCAGCCATCTTTGCAACGCAACGTATCTGTCTGTAGCTAGCGACACCAGCTCCTGCCCTTAATCGCTCCCTTAGCCCCGGGACTGCCTTGCCACGGCCCTGCCTGGCTCCTCGGATCGGAGGAGGGGGGTGATGCCAAGGCTAATCTAGGCCTTTAATTAATGACCAGCCAGCCTAGCGCTAAGTACAGTAGAGAAATCTGCAGCCATCTTTGCAACGCAACGTATCTGTCTGTAGCTAGCGACACCAGCTC